GCAGCTCTACTCTGAACCCCTCCCGAATGGCTGAACTCCTCACCTCATCTCTAAGGGAAACACCAGCCACCCTTGGAGGGAGCTCATTTCCGCCATTCTTTCAGTCACTACCCACAGCTCACGACCATAGGTGTTGGGTGAGGACAGGGATGTAGATCGATCGGTAAATTCAGATATTCGCTTTTACACTCAGCTGTCTCTTACATCAAATACATAATTCAGTTTAAATTATGAAAAGGTTGCCATTGGGAGCAATTGACAGATAAAAATTCACAAACATAACCTCATCATAAAACAACTCTGGTAATTTTACTTTTGATACTTTGATTAAATTTTAATGTCAATACTTTTTTGTGTGTATTTCTACACTGTGGCTGTTTCTACTTATACTTCAGGAATTAATCAGACTGATTCTTCCACACTGATGTGTCGTTAATAGACATGGATGAGGTTTTTATTTTTGTGATAAACAATGACAGATCCACACTCATGCATATACGATGTACCTGAACCTGCAGCTGTTTGAGGCTGTCTGGAGACTTCAGAGGAGGCTGAAGGTGTGAAGCTTCCTGAAATGAAGTTTGTTGTTGTTGTGGAGGTCGACAGGAGAAACGTTGATGTTGATAAAGGCTGATGAGGTGTTGAAATGTTTGAAGCTGTGAACAAGGAAACATCAGAATAATCACAATCCTGCTTGAAGCAAGTTTTCTGTCTGCATGTCAGTAACAGTGGTTAATGTTTGTTTACAGCAGAACTAATTGAACTAAACTTGTAGTGTAAATATGACACATGTAGGTTATTTGAAAGAAAAGTAACTCTGATCAGTGAGAAGTTCACATCTTCAGGGACATGAATAATTTTTTTACTCACCTCCTGTGATGACAAGCTGAAAATCACATGGTTGTAAACTTCTGTCCAGTATGCACCTGTACCATCCTGAATCAGACTTGTTCAGCTGTGTGATGCTCACGTACACAATATCCTTTGACAGTAAATTCGTTTTTACAAATTTAATGCTGTATCTGCCGCTCTGGGCTGTGTAATCAGTTGTTTCAATGAGAACGTTTCCTTTTTCACATTTGTCTTTGCAGAACAATATCTTACTTCCTAGGAAATAAAATTTACATTCGACTGTGATGTTTCCTCCTTCCACTCCTTCATAGACGAGAGTTTCAGCGTTGGCAAGTCCAGTGTTTCCATCCTGCAGGTCTGTAGAAAATATGAACAATCAGTTACCAACTTCCTATAAACACAGCATTTGAATTTAAATATTGTATTAAATTAAACTGAAACAGATGATTATTCTCTCTAATTGAACAAAACAATTAAAGGTAATTTATTTAAATTCACTCTCTTTGTAGTCTTCATTTGAACAAAATCATCCTGGTCTTTCCTGCCAACACAAGCCATCTGCTGAAGAACAGCTCAGTTAAAAGTTTGAAAACTGACCTCATATTTGTTTGTATTAAGATCTTGATCTGCTTTGAGCTGTGCTGTTCCTCCTGAGCTCAATGATAAGGTTGTTTCCTTAGAAGCTCTAAATGTGGTTTAGTAGTTTGGAAAAGAAGGAAGCAGCACTCTGAACACAAACGAGCTGCTGTCAGTCTGAAAGCAGCTGCTAACCAGGTGACGTGTCAAGGTCGGTATCCCCGACAGAATTTGCGTCGGGAGCGCGCACTGGGCTTTTAGATCACAAACACCTCTAACAATGATGTATTACTTCTGAAATTTTGGAGGTTTTAGCTCTTTATCTGCTCTGTGAGAACAGTGGTGGACATTGACTCACAGACAACCTTGGCTTCTGCTTTCAGCACTATTTCTGATGTAGTGCAAAACCTGCAAACATCTTTATGAATAAGAAATAATAAGAATTTACTCACAGAGGAAGATGAAGCAGAAGAGAATGTGACAGAGTTTCATCTCGAGGTTCTGACGGCTTAATGCTGCTTCTCTTTCTTCTTCGTTTGCAAACCAGGAACTTCTAACTTTCGCTTCTTGTTGTGGTCCCTCCCTCAAACCAACACTCGCTTTCACAGGGTTTTTTTTGTCCATTTATTTATGGTTTAGTTTTACATTTCCTTGAAACTTTTTTTTAACTTCCAAATCAGAGTGTTTGGAGTTAACTAATCTTATTTAACTGGCTGCAGTTTCATTGTATAAAGCAGTGAGATCCATCTGCAACTCACCTACTAAAGGAGCAGTGACACTGACAGAAAGCTCAACACTGAGGGGCTTCCTGTCAAAATAAAAACTGTTTAATACAAGGTCAGTCACCTTCCACATACAAAATTATGTAATTATGTGTCTTTGAAAGTTATACGTTAATTTAGCTTCTACTTCCTGAATATGTTACACTCTGTTGTCTATGAGATTGTTATTTATATTTATTGATTTCTTGTCCTTTTGTGTCCAGTCTGTTAGTTTCGTCCCTGTGTTGTGTCTCCAGTGTTCAGGTCTGTCTGTCTGTGGTTTTTCCCTGTTCCCATCTTCATTTCCGTGTTTCATCCTTTTGTGTCCCCAGTCTGTCATGTCTCCATGTTTGTTTATCCCCAGTCCAAGTGTCATGTCTCAGTCTCAGTGTTCCTTCCTGTTTTATTTTGTTAGTCCCCGTCTCCTGCCCGTACATTCAGTTTTGCATCCTCTGTCTTGTTTGTCAGATTTAGTTCACCTGTGTTCTTCTGAGTTCCATCTCCCTGATCACCTCTTGTGTATTTAAGCCTTTAGTTTCCTTCACTCCCTTGTTGTGATCTCCCCTCATGTTGTGTGTTCTCCCTTCTCTCTGTCAGTGTTAGTTTTCAGTCTGTTTGCCCCTGTTTTACTCATCTGTATGTGTTATTAAGTTTGCCATGTGTTTCTGCTGAGTCCTGCGTTTGGGTCCACAGTTGTCCTAACACACAAATGTGTCCTGACAACATGTTTTAAACAAAGAATGAGACGAGTGATTCCAAATAGTTTAGAAACTTTGAAATGACTTTTATTTTAATTAAAAAGTAGACCTTCTAATAGGCGACTTGGGCAGACTGCACATCCATTTACATCATTCATTTACACTGTGGCTAAAACCTTTTTTGCTAGTACCCTCTTTACTTTACAATCAACTCTGCTGTCAATACATTCTTCAAAAAATGCCTCTCTGTGCAAAATGGGTTTAAAAACATAAACAACTGTGGGATACTGTTTGTCCGTGATTTGAACCGGGGGAACAAATTGTGGCAGGGTCAGTGTTGGGCCAAGGTAGGAATCACCGACAAAACGTATTCCCCCATGTGTTGCGAGCATTCGCTCGGCACGGAGTGCGGATCCAGTTTACTCCGCCTCCATTACAGACTATTAGACGTGGAAGTAGTGATGTTTTAGTTTTCTGAAAAAGTAAAAAATGAGTGTCGTTACATTACCATTCAGTTTGAGGATTACAGCAGAAAATGATATTTATTGTTCTCATGTGGGATTAACAAACGAAGGACATTTTTCCTGATAATTATTTATATCCTCCTGTAACTTTACTGTATAAAGAGCTAAAACCTCCAAAGTTTCAGGAGTAGTTAGTCGCTATAGTGTTTGTGAACTAAAAATCAAGAATGTGGGATACTGTTTGTCTGTGATTTGGAGAGCCCAGCGTGTGCTCCCGACGTAGGGAAAACAAATTCTGTTGGGGAGACCTACCCTTGGTTTGACAGCTGTTGTGCAGGTGAAGCCAAAGGCAAGATATGCTTCGTCATATGTTTGTGTTTGGCTTGGAAGGAAGTTGGTTTGGAAGCATATTTGGTGATGCTTCATCTTCTGCTTTGCATTTGTGTGGGAGCCCCGTCAAAAAACCTGCCTATTATACTAACAGTGTCCACTCTTCTTTTTTTTAAAAGATTCATACCACACCCCCCACGCTATGTGGCATGTTCCCCACTTTGGGAACCACTGAGCTAAAAGATTGAACCGATATATATATAATAGACACACCGGTCGCCTCTGTGTCCATTTCACGCTTTGCCTCTACAAAACATGAAACGGACACGTCCATACAGAAGTTGCATTACCAGCAGGGCGAGGACAAACGTATGAAGTACATTAGTCTTTAATCATCAGAAACAGTTAAACTAGGCAGGTAATATAATATGTGTGTGTGTGTGTAAATGTGTTAATAACTTATGTTTAAAGGCTTTTCCGTAATTGTTTTAATGTCAGTGCGCCCCAGGGTGGCTGTGGCTACAATGTAGCTGCCATCACCAGT